CGGATGTGTGACTGACTTTGCTGTAAATTTTGTGTTGCGTTAAGGCAATGCACCACGCACTCGTTCTTTCAGCTGATTTAAGACTGAGCTGCGGAGGGCCGAGCGGGTCTCGCACTCATGCACCCGCCGCCAATACCTGCCAGTGACTGGTAATGACAGAGTAATGGGAGGGACGCGGGAAAACAGGAGGGCAACAGGGCAGAAACACGGTGCCAGCAGGAAGAGCAGATAAAGTGGCAGCAATAAAAATTATATGACTACATACATCATCCTGACAGCGTATAATTTTATCTGAGAGGGCAGGGCCTTTCTGCTTGCTTTGAAATGGATGTGGCACCAGAACCCATCTGGCGTGCACAGAGGTGCTAGAAGAGGAAAGCCTCCTCATCTTCACTCACCGATAGCTCTTTACTTGATGCTTCTCCGGGGGTTGTGGGCGTTTAATAGCATTTTACATAATGCTATGTTCAAAGTCCTTTTGACTTCTGTAGGAAACTTGAGAATTTCATTTTTTGGGCACTTATAGAACCCGCAGCTTTACATCTTTAGGGAGCAGGGGAGTAATTCAGTTTCAGACAATTTAATTGAAATGCATTCTCATTTGATATAATTATAGAGGAACTTGAGTGAACCCAAAAATAGGATAATCACCATCGCGCAATGGGTAGAGCCATCTCAGCGGCAAGCGACAATTGCTTTGGTTAATGGAGAGGTGTTTGTGTGGCTTTCTTCTTAAAGGGCCGGCCGAAAGGTCTTTCGCAAAAACCAATTACTTCTTATGCTATTCAGCCTCCCACGGTCATACAATAAGCAAAAACAGGAGGTAATTAATCCAGAACTGTACTCACAAGGCGTCTCAGAAGGACTGGATTAATAATAAAGGAATTCTGTTTATCGCTTTACAAAGATCTGAAATAGACATGCAGGGGAATACAGCAGGAATGGTAAACACCGGTGTACTTTCAGGGACTAAGCAGTATTGAACAAACTTAAGTGTTCTCTTGCTAACAAAGTAACCTTGGTAAGTGGATATACTATGGGCCTGCTCTACCGTTCAAAAGTTCTGGATCACTTTGAATTAGTTGAGTTTAATTAATAGCTATTCTTTGTAGTGTCTCTCACCAAGGCTGCATTCATTTGACCAAAATACAGTAAAAATGGAAGTATTGTCAAATATTATTTCTAAATATATATTAAAATGTAATTTATTCCTGTGATGGCAAAGCTACATTTTCAGCAGCCATTACTCTAGTCTTCAGTATCACATGAGCCTTCAGAAATCATTCTAATATGCTGATTTGTTATTATTATCGATGTTGAAAACAGCCGTGCTGCTTAATCTTTTTGTAGAAATTTGATACTTTTTTTTCTGGATTCTTTAGTGAATTAAAAATTCAAAAGAACAGCATTTAGTCCAAACATTATAAATAGCCTACCTTTATTATCACTTTTGAACAATGTCATGCACCCCAGCTGAATAAAATTTAAGGTAACACTTTAGTATAGGAACCAATTCTCACTACAGTTTTTTTCAATTGCTAACAAGCATTTACCAATACTTAAAGTACTTTTTCTAAACTCTTAACACAGCAACACACCTACATCACACAATTAGCCAAATAGTAAATTTTCTGGCCAAAACCACATTTTGTTAAATAAATACAAATTCTACATTTCAAAATGCTGAATACCTTTTTCCTACATATAACTCTATCAAAACACAGCAAACCCGATTCAAAATCATGTCATTCGGTCAAAACATTAGCACTACTTTTCTATCCAACAGAAACATATAGTCAATGATTGCACAGTGACTGTCAAAATACTAACAGTTGATGGCTTTACAAAAACTGCATTACTTGTCATGTGTCAGTTCTACCTGCATATAGACAATATAAGAATCCAATCCATTGTTTTTTGTAATTTAGTTACCTTCAACTGAAACCCATTTTACATTTTTAAGTGTTGAATGTGTTCATTCTTGGCAACATAGTACTGTCTAAAACTGAATGAGTCATTACTTTATAGAATGTACAATAGAAAAAAAATAGGGTCCCCTATGCAGAAATTCAATTGGAACCTTGATTAAAATTGCTGTCCAGTGGGTGGGGGTTGGATGCGGATGGTGCCCCCATGGTAGCTGATGCCAGTGAT